TCTTTGAAACTTTTGTTCAAGAGTGTTGCTACTTTTTCTTGATTTCTCTCCCCCTTTTGTGTTCTTGTGTGTTGCTTTTATATCAGCGGAGAGGTGGAAATTGGTGGGAAAAGTAGATAGGTTTTGAACATAATTTTGGGGTAGTGATGTATGCTTTTTTGATTCAGTTTTTGTTATGTCTATATTTGTGCAACTGTTGGACTGATATGAATTGGTTATATGCAGGATTTTAGACTGTTGTAGCAGAGTTTGCAGGCTGTAATGTTTGGTCTTGTGGTGGACTGGTTTAGAGCATGCCTCTGAACTATTTGTATAGAAACTTTGGCTTATTGTAGCAGGAATTTGGTAGCTTGGGGCAGCAGCAGGTCTGTGGTCTTAAACCATGGGTTATAACAGTTTTTTTGAACTGTTTTGGAGTGATATAGGCGTCAGTATTAGCTGTCTTTGTGCAGAATTACAACAAGTCATTTGGAGGTTTGTAGCAGTAGGTTAGAGGGATGGACGGTTTGGTTTGTTTTGTTTAAGCAAGTCTATTTTTTTGACAAGTTATGGAGAATTGAGGAAGTTTGAAAGAGGAAAGCAAGTCATGAAGTTCTGAACTTGAAAGCATGTACAAAATAAGTTTAGGATAAGTGTTATATCTTTAGAACTTTGGAAATTTTATGTACTTGTGAATGACTTTCTTGTATGAATATGACTATGTCTTTTAATTCAACAACCTTGAATTCAAATAAAGTATCCTTTAATTTTAATTCAAACTTGAGATCTTCCTCTTTGAATGTTCCCTTTCAAGAATTCAGTCATGAACAATCTTTCCCGTCTTGTATAAACTTTTGACAAACCTTTGATAACTTTGTATGCTGCTTAAAGTAAGTCTTGACGAACGAACCATGAACATGCCTTAAAATCCTTGTAAGGTGAATCATGAATAAAATCAAAGGATGAATTCTTTTTCCACGAGCTTGAAATGGAGTGATGAGACTTTCGAAATTCAATAATTCCATGTTTCTTTTAAATTCCAATTAGCTCTCCGAGATTTGAATTCAACATTTATATATCATCTCATGATTTCATAGGAACTTGTACTCAAAAGAAAACTTGTACGCTGCACCGACTCAAATGAACATTAACTGCCAAACTTGAGTTCAAACTCTTGTGTGAAGCATAACTTATACCATAAGCAATTATTCTCAAAGCCTTGCATCTCAAACCTCGGTTTATTGGGAGAGTATCCATGAATTCACGTCTCTTATCTTAACCAAAGTTTTAAACTCAAGAAATTAGAAGTACACTCTTATCACAAAACCTAAGCCATGATGCGCGCTAGGCGATTGTGATGCGGTGGGAGAACTGACTTGAGGTTTTGCGTTTGTGTTCGCAAATGTTGCGGTTAGCAAGAGTCGCCACCGACTTTCATTTTATCCAAAAGGAAAGGTAAAAAAGCACAGGAAAGACCTTTGATATGTTTTCTTGAGTTCGAGGGGTAGATTATGAGAAAGGAAGGTACTATCACCCTTTTCATCCATGTTTTTCCATGGGCTCTTAGTTACTTGTTTAGATCACTTGCTTTTGCTTTGAAGTTGTTTGGATATTTCGAGCATGTTTTGCTTTTCTCTCCCCTTTTTAAGTTGCTTTTCATAACCCAAACTATAACGGTTCTTCTTATTAGATATTTCGGGGAGCTTTCCTAAGCCTCTCGAGTCACCATTCTCCATTGCTATTTGTAAATCTCTCCACGAAGTTACAATAGGCTTCTTGACCTTTTCTATCGGTAGGGTTACCATTGAAGCAACCTCCAATACTTGAAATGGTGTAGCTATGCAATCTTCGTTGGCACTGATGTACCTGTAGGACTCAATGTGACTTACGAAGATGTCTTTCTCTCCACCAATTATGACCAATCTTACTTCAATAAAGAACTTCAATATTTGATGTAGGGTTGAAGTGACTGCTCCTGCCGCGTGAATCCAAGGTCGTCCGAGTAAACATGTATACGTCGGCTCTATATCCATGACTTTAAAGGTGATATAGAATATATGTGGACTAATCTTGACTGGAAGGTCTACTTCTCCGAACACTGCTCTGAGAACCATCAAAAGCCTTGACTATCGTGGAACTTGGTCTTATCACAACACCGTCTAGTGTTAACTTCATCAGACTAGATTTAGGCAATACATTGAGGGCAAAACCAATATCGGTGAGTACCTTGGATAGACTTGTAGTACCTATATATATATTAAAATGTGTACTGCTTTGTTGTGAGCTCGGCCTTGCAGAGGTAATTCACTGTCGTTGAAACCCAGTTAGGACCCAGACGTCAGATTTGCTACCACGTTATCAAATTGGTTCACAATAACTTCTTCTGCAACATGAGCATAACTTAAAACTTTCATCATAGAATCCCAATGCGCTTCTGAATTGATGAGCAACGAGAGTATGGAAATCTTGGCTGGAGTTTGGTGAAGTTGGTCCACCACCCTATAGTCACTTCTCTTAATTATCTTCAAAAATTTGCCGGCCTCTTGGTCGGTGAAGCTTTTGTTTGAAGGCTCCTGATTCACCTCCTCTACTGCTTTTCCTTTTTCTTTTGTTAACAAGTTAATTTTATTTTTCAAGCCATTGTCATTCTTCTCCGATGGTTTAGATCCGAACACCCAGCCACTACGGGTCATGCCCCTTGTCCCTACTATATTTGAAATTGCAGGTTCTTTACTTGATGATGACTGACATTCTTGCTTCAAGCCATTCATATATACAGTCATATCATAATTCCATGGTACTGCCTTGTCAGTTTTGTAAGGGATAAGAGATGACCCCTTAATTACCATTGTAGTCTTTGGTGCTACTAGTATTCTCAGTGTTTGCTTTTTTGTAGGAGTTTATGTTGAATCTCCCCACGGGATCACGAGAGTCTTCTTGTCATGGTTTTATATTTGATAAGGAATTACCAATGGCTTGTTCTCATCTCCGATCCAAATACAACCCAACCCTCATAACATACCACAACATGTATTTACAGAAAAAAGAAGAAAAAAAAGATCGAGCTACCTCACTGTGTTTCTCTTCTCTGAACTTCGCTCTCTCTTCACTAATCGTCTCTTCGTTCTTGATTGCAGGTGACAGTGGATTGGAAGCGGTGATTTGGGGCAGCATCTTAGAGAGGTATTAGGGTTTCAGATGTTGAAACCCTAGACCTATGATGGAAGCGGCGGATATGCATTGGTGAAACGGATCAAGACTTCTCCTCTGTAAAGAAAAAATGCTTTACTGTAATAATCTTTTTCTCAATTTGTTTTCTTTTCTCTTACCGTCATTTCCCCCTTCATCTTTTTGTAATTTGTTTCCGATTTATAGTGAATTAGGAATTACGAATTAGGAAGTTTATTCATGTGTTTGTAATTGATTTTAGGAAATAATGTAATGTGTCTGTAAAAAAGTGGATTTGTTTCTGTTTTGTTTTCCAGTAATAAAGTTTTGAGTGATGCTTAGTTTTGTTTCCGTTTAGGTATGATATTGTCCCTGTTCTTGATTATTTTCCGTTTCTGGGGAATTGAATGTAGGGATATCGTTATGTACAGATCTTTGCATAAGGAAAAAGGGTTGATATTGTTCATAATCTGCACAATAACTGTTATGAAGTTTTTGGGCCACACATTTTTTGTCATTGGGCCATGCGAAAAATTTGCAATATTTTCTTTTAATACCAACCAACACTAATTCAATTTTAAGGGTTTAAAAAATAATGTAAAATAAAAGTTATTAATGACGTTTAATAAACAACAAAGAAAATGAAATGGGCCAAAAAGGTTTAGTTGTTGGGCCTGTTATGCGTTATTTGAACCAGAAACAACTTAACCAAAAATTAAATGGGCTAGGGTACTTTTCTATATAAAAAAAATGTTTTTTTCTTTTTTTTTAATGAAAACAAAACCATTTTATTTAAATAATAAAAAAAAGTAATATTTAAAACAATTTTTTAAACAAATTAAAAGACTGGATGAGCCTTCTTATTGGGCTTTGGATAAAAAAAAGATTGCTTCAATAAAAAAATTTAAATGGGCCTTATAATTTAAGCGTATTGGGTTTCAAACAAAATAAATTGTCTTATACTTATTCAATCTAAATGGGTCTTATGAAAAAAAGATTTATTCACACCCTGTTTGAAACAATACACCTCTCTTAACTTGAAATGGACTTTTATTAAAGCCTAATGGGCCATCAGATATTGATGGTCCATTTTTGATCGATACACCCCTCTCTGATGCTTTACACCCATGCAGAAATAAAAGTTTAAACAAATACGATTTATTTAAATAGAAACCTAAATAAGGGTAGGGAAAATTTGGGGTATGACACTCTGCATTTTTAAGCCTCGTCTTCGTTCAAGGTGAAATCAATTGGTTTCTTCAACAATCATGGTTTGAAGTTAGGGGTGTGTGTTCATGGTCATTATGGACTTCTGTTTTCATCAAATATTCATCCAGAGAAAAGTGTATTATGATTTCCATTTGTGGTGCTTAATGATCATCAAGATTAAAGGATTTAGGGTTTTTAATCCTCTGTGATTGGGCTTGGTTTGACTTTCATCTGAGGTGTTCTTCTCGTTATAATCAAGTGGTGTTCATCCTTTGGTCAAGATGTTGGTTTATCTGGTAATATCTATTGGGTATCCATCTTGCACAAATTCAATGCGCATTTGTTGCATGAGCTATAAGACATTATGAAATTTGAAGTTCAAACTTGAATAAGGGTTTTAGTAAGAATCAAGCGTGGCTCAGTATTGGATTTGGATATGATTCTTTGAGAGAGATTAAGTTGGCACAAGCCCCATTTGATTCATGTTCGGATGTGTACCAACTCAAATCTTTCAACAAATGAAGGTTGGTGTATAGTTCCTCCACTAATTGGATAGATACAAAAAAAAGGGCAAGCTTTGGGATTGGACTTAATTCGTGAATTCGAGATGGCAAAAATCGCAACATTAAAATAAAGCAAATACCAAGATCTCATCAAAATTCATTCAAGTTCCAAACATTAAAAAATCACATAATACAAGTTCAATACTATTACATCCTTTGACACTATTACATTACATCAACAGAAAGGATTACAAATTTCACAAAAATACTTTCCTAAACTTATACCGTACATCTTTAATCGTCATGCTATTTTATCTTCAACCCTTGCTCACTTCTCAAACTTCTAGCAATGCACATGCTCTAGGCATTCTCTTCTCATTCCCTTTGCCAATACCATAAAATCAAACCCGACTTTTATTCAAGTAAATAGGGAGCTTTGACTTTTGTTCAAGAAACCAAATCACCATAAACCAGTTCGGCGTCATATAAGCCATGGAGCTACTTCAGCTAACACTAACAGATTTCCTAGCATTTTCAACTAACCAGTTTCCAAATAAATCAGTTCACTACCATATTGATTAACTCGTTAACATCAATTCAAAACCTGATACACTAACTATAAAACCAGAAGAGAAAACAAACGTGTTGCCAAGTATACCTATAAACCGCCTTGCACCACAATGCCCATACATTACAATCCACATTAAAATCATTTCAGTTCACTGCAAAATCAGAACAGAAAAAGCGATTAAATCCAATGACTAAAGCATAATAATACGTTGCTTTATGAGTAATCCCGAAAAAAACCAATACACAACCAATTTCGGTTCAACATCAATATGCCAAAACATTTCCATTCATAAAACCAGTTTATAACAAAAAAATCTAGAAATTGATTCAATCACTTCATTCAAACTAGCCTAACTGTGCCATCAATTAAACTGTGTCGTTACACCTACAAAACGGTTCATACATCCGAATTAGTAACAATTCACAAGCAGCCCTATAAAGCCCGACAAGGTTCAATTAACATCAACCAATTAGTATTCAGCTCATTAACCAGTTGCCCTGCACAAGTAGATCAGAAATAAAATAATTAATCCAAACACATAACCAATTTCTCTACAAACATTAACCAAAATACTAACTCAAATAACAGATGTGCAGATTCGTATAACTAACCTTTAACAAACCTAGGACTAACAAATTTCAGCTTCAACTAACTCTCTAAGAAGTTATAACTGAATCACCAACTGTCAAAACAGAACCCTAACCGAATTTTAAACTCCTCCCAACTAACTTTCTCATGTCCTAACTGAAATTCTAACAGCTCAATAACAGAATTTTCAAGCAAAAACTTCCTATAACCTCCTAACTGCTTCTAACAAGCTTCTGGCAGAGATTCTACCTGAAAGTTCATAATCTTTTCGACACCGTCCTTCAACTTGAAGAACCGCCGGAGGTACTCCGGGAGGTAAACCTCAATCTCTATCCCACCTTTATACGTTCCGTTCGTTCTTCATATTCGACTTTCCTCCGCATATGTAATTAGAGCTAGGTCCTGGCTTCGTTTCGGTTTTGAGTTGTTCGCGCAGAAGAAGTAAATCGAAGTGTGAGATATAAAGAGTTGGAGCCAATGAGAGGACGAAGAGATGAAGGTTGAGTTGAATCCGCCGCTGCGTTGAGAAGAGAGGAGAACAGACGGTGAGATGAGGCTGAGGCGAGGTCTCTCATGGTGACTTGTGGTGGCCTGAATATGTACACGACGATGATGAGTTCGTGAAGAATAGATGAGAAAGGTTGAGCGGCACGATTTCATATGAGAAGAGAGGGAAGAGATTCCTTTGTTTCAGTTGTAGTCCAATAGTCACACACATTGTAACCCTAACATCACAGCAAAACGCATCGTTTTTTTGTTGATTTTTTTCTTTCATTTCTCTTTAATAATGATATTTTATTGGTAACTCAAATAAAAAAGGGCTGGTTGAGCTTGGAAAAGATTGAGTTGGGTTTGTTGGTGGCCTGTTGGGCCTTAGCGCCACTTGCATCTACCAAATCTGCTGCACATTTTTTGGAGTTTTGAAGAACTTGAATAAAAATAGCTTCCATGGATTATTCCTGTATGGGCCTAGCGCCCTGCTTATACACCCCCCATATTCCAGTTCACCCCCCTGATACTCCTATTTTCTTTGTTAGATTTAGATTTTTTTTTCTTTTAATTCTTTTATGATAAAATTTAAAAAGAAATCAATAAAACTTGTTAGAACTCTTTAGTCAATTTTAGAACTCAATTATTTAGTTTTTGATAGAATTTTCCTCGCACAAAAAAAAAAACAAATAAAAAAATACTATTTCTTTTATGATTTTTTTATTCATATTTTCGTATCGTTGTGCCTCGTTATTTTTGACACGTTTGTTCATTGTGCAAGGTATATTTTGGTGTTTTCGATCACGTAAGATAATAGGTTGTTATGTGATCGAAGCATATGGCTTATGATCGCTTCTGATGCGACACACCTTATTTCTCATCGTCCTGAGAAATTCATATCATATTATATGTTGTCCGGATGCATGTCATATTTTGTGATACTTTGTGTAGGAACTTGTGATTACGCGTTGCATTCACAACACGTGTTTGCTTTTATCTTAGTTGGATATCGTTTTTGACTTTGTTTGTTTCTTGGTGAAGCTTGCTCGACGTGTACTCCTTGCTTCTCCATTGCTTTCATCCACTTTCGATGATCTACTTGCTTTTGGTAGTCGTCGCTACTGATTTTACATTTTCCCACACCTTATCACATTTTATTACTGCTTTCTAGATATCATAAGGAGTAGGAACTTTACTACTTTATGATGCCATGAGAAGTAGGAATTGAGATGTATGAGGGGGGGTCTCTGTTGCTGATCATGTTAGGAATCCCTCTGGTTTACTTAAAAACTCGTTTAGAGAAATTCTGCATTATTTGGCATTGTGTGCTACTTGTATGTGGTTTGTTTAAAACCCTACCTTTGTGTAGTTATTTTGCAGGTGTGCTTACATTTGTGCTCTCATATGTTACAAATTATAAGTCCTCAAAAGGAGGCGAGCGGAGAGGGTTATCAATCAACCCCTGCAATTTTGTCTGTGCCATCCTTAGCTCGTGACACACCACGATGCTTCGGAGTTGTGCCCACTCTTGTTATCGAGTCGTCAAGTGGAAAAGGGTTTTGCGATCGAACCCTCACACTTTGTCAGGATTTCAAATTGGCTTATGTCGCCTACCTCGATCTTATATATCTTGGTTAGGTGTTTAGTCGTTTTGGACATCACGTTTTTGTTTTACATCATATTCCCGCTTGTTTGCTTTGGATGATCCACTCCCCTTAGCTAAAGCATTTCTCTTATTTTATATTTCACTCCGACTTGTTTGTATCGGGTTATCCGCTCCCCTTGACTAAAGCATTTCGCTTCTTTTCTTTACCATTATGTGTGTGCTCATTCGAACTTGTTTGCTCACTTGCTTTATATACCATGTTCCCTTAGGATGTGCTTGTTCCTTTCAGATACAAGTTATACCTTAGGATGCAAACCATGCATGCTAACTGTTGTACCCCAAAAATTTTCCCTCCAATTTTCTTCAAGACATTCTCATGAGATTCCCATTTGCTCAAGACTACTCAAGAGTTTACTGGTCAAAATTCTTCTCCTAAGCAATGAGTCCATAACTAGGGTTTTGGTTTTCTCAAGGGAAATTGGACTTCTAATGACTCAAATAGCTTTCATGTTTCATCATAGGTCCTTGTAACAGCTCGAGCCTTCAGTGTTCCCGACACTTATTACCTCACGATCTTCTCTACCCCCCTCACTAGTAGAGTTTTTGCCTTTCATAGGAATCAAACCCTGTACCCTGGGGTTCAAGTACATGCTCAATGCATTCCCACTACCAATTGAGCTACAACTCAATTGGTAGTGGGAATGCATTGAGCATGTACTTGAACCCCAGGGTACAGGGTTCGATTTCCACGAGAGGCAAAAACTCTACTAGTGAGGGGGTAGAGAATATCGTGAGGTAATAAGTGTCGGGAACGCTGAAGGCTCGAGCTGTTACATAAAAAGAATTGGTAGTGGGAATGCATTAAGCATGTACTTGAACCCCAGGGTATAGGGTTCGATTCCCACGAAAGGCAAAAACTCTACTAGTGAGGGGTGTAGAGAAGATCATGAGGTAATAGTGTCGGAAACGCTGAAGGCTCGGGATGTTACATAAAAAGGCGCGTTTTTATATAACAGCCCGAGCCTTCAGCGTTCCCGGCACTATTACCTCATGATCTTCTCTACCCCCCCTCACTAGTAGAGTTTTTGCCTTTCGTGGGAATCGAACCCTGTAGCCTGGGGTTCAAGTACATGCTCAATGCATTCCCACTACCAATTGAGTTACAGTCCTCAACATTGTTTATGTCAAGTTTCAAGCCTTGCATCACAAATATGCCTATTCAATGGCTCAAATGATTGAAAATCAACTGCATTGGGTAAAAAGTCAATTGTGGTCAAACATATAGTCAAACTTCAAGATTTTTTGTCAACATTAATATTTTGAGTTGATATTCATCATTTTATCAAGGGTGTGCCGTGATTCCTCAAGGAAATCCCTCAAACCATCAAAGGTCGAAAATTGCCAAAATTAGGGTTTTGATTGAAGGTGACTGATCATTGACTGTTGACCTAGTACATGACCTAATAGCTTGAATCATGATCTTAAGGACTCAAATAAAACATATTGACCTAATTACATGGCTTAAGACATTTCCAAAGATGCAAGTGATTGATAGTTGAAAATTTGAATCAGTTGATGAAAAATCAACAGTCACACAAAAGTTAAACTTTGACTTTTTGGTCAACATTGGAATTCAAAAGTCAAGAATCATCAAGATATTCAAAACTATCAAACTTGATCATCAAGAAATAAAAAAAGTCAACAAAAGTCAAATTTGGAAAATTTTCTAACACTTAGAAAAATTCAAAGTGTTTTTGTTCTTAATAAAAGTCCTAACTTCATAACCATTTTTCACTAAGATCCAAGTTTATTCAAAGAAAAATTTCAACATGAAAGTGGTATGCATTTGAATTCTACAACTTTTTAAATGAGGTTTGATTTCCAAAAAGTGTTTGTATTAAGAGATATAAGCTCATGAAGTTAGGATATTTTTTATCCCACTTAGAATTTTTTTTACAAGTTTTGATCAGTTTTTTGTCCTAACTTCTTGGCCAATTTTCACCAAGTTCCCGTTTGATTTAGCCAAAACTCACAAAATGAAAGTTGTAGATAATAGTTCAAGCTTTCCAAAATGTCAAAGAACACAATTTTATCTTTCTTGAGATAGAAGTTTGAAAGAGATGAAGTTAGGTACTAAGGTTGCATTATAGGTTATTTTTGTGATAAGTTCATAACCAAATCTTCAAGCCATGCTGCATAATCCTACTTTTCAGGCCTTAAATCTCCATATCTATCCATAATCATAAGATTACACACACTTTTGATCCATGATCCAAGTGATTAAAGCTTTGCCCAATCCATTTTTCCATTTAAGGGAGAAAGGTTACATTTCCATTCTTGTAAAGCAAGCTTTAATCACAAAGTTAACTCCTTGAGCTCCCAACTTGTTGCATATGAGTACAAGAAATCTATAACATCAGAAGTAACCTCCCTGCACCCAAAAAACCATAAATCATGCTTGTACTTGAACCTTGGAACCATAGAAACTCATCTAACTTGATTTTTCACTTTTTTAAACCATAACATGTTATCTTGCAAACCTGGTTACTTCAGCTCTTAAAGACTCTTGCCTATAAATATAAGGTTCACTTTCAAGCCAAAAAGAAAGAGGAAGAAACTCTAAAACCCTCTTATACACTCTCAAACTCTGAATTTCTCAAAAAACTCCATTGTTGAGCCAAAAATCCATTTCTTTGAATTTCACAATCCTTGCAAGTTCCTTGCAAACTAATCATTTATACACCTCATATAGAAGTTGTCTAAACACAAGAACAACTTCTGTAACATCATTATCACCATCTTCCAAACTCAAAAACAGTGCCCTACAAGTTGACTTGGTTGGGGGTATTCAAACACTTTCAGTACAAGGTAAGGTTTAGAATAGCTTCAGGGAAGTCCAAGGAAGCTTAATCAATCATCACACTGCACCTGGAACAGCTAGAAGAAGCATTGGACTTTCTCCAACTTGGAAAAAACTCAAACTTTGAACTTCTTATTCGTGCATCTTTAGTGCATACATACAAAAGAAAAAATGTAGATATTGATGTCATGAAGCTAACTTTGTGCTTACTTTTCATTTATATTGGTTGTGTGTTAAAAACCGTATCTCTGAACAGTTAGGGTTAAATTTTGGTACTGGCAGAAATTATTGTTCATCTTTGATTTATAGCTTAAATAAATTACATCATTGTGTTCCTTGTAAAATTTTAGACAGGTTTGGATTTTACAATTCTCAATTTGATTGAGAAATGAAGGTCTTATAAATTTGACAATGGTGTTGTTGGTTATTTGTCCGCACGAACAAGAAGATGAAGCAATGGCGCCATTTGTTCATTTTTAAATTTTGAGTTCATATTATATTAATTAGTGGTTGTTTCATAACCGGATGAAACAACCACCCCAGTGGCAAGCATGTGTGTGTAGGGAGTTAGTGTGCCAGGGCAAGGGTTCGATCCCTGCCTTTGGCATTTTATTTTTCAACATTTTCTTTGTTGATCAGGTGCAAGGAAGTTGAAAACGTGCATGATACACCCCTCATTAACACCATTAGATCATCATACAATCA